GCCACTAATAGTGCAGTAAACGGGTTGGTTATTGTCACACTGTTTTTTTGTTAAGATTATAGAGAATATAATTTAATTTGACTAATTTTATTATTATTTTATAGTTGTCTTTTTAAAATAATTAATTGTAATATTTAGAAATATCAGATTATAAACTAATTTTATTATGTTAAATAATAAATATTAATTATTTTAATCTTTAAAAGTTATAATTATTAATTATTTTTAATTATTAAATAATAAAAAATTATGATCTTAACAAAGCATGATGTGACAATAACTACCCCTAACTCTGTCGCCGAACTATATAATTAATGGTAATCAAGGCTAGAAGAAAGAAAAATGGTGGATGTTAAATCAGACATTGTGAAATTTATAACTTCAACTCTCTTTTTAAATTAACTAATTCAGGTAAGTCTATAAATTTTCTTTCTTTTTGGAACATGAACAATTAGGGGGAGAGAGAACGAAGAGGGGTGATGTTTGAACCCCATACCCTAAGATGAGATGTCTTTTAATAATATTTAAATAGTCACTTGGGTTTGTCAAATAAGTCTATAATTTTATTCTCTAAGCACACCACATATTACATCCTATAAGAGTAGAAAAGATATTTTGCAGACACCTTACGGTTGTTACTTGTGACCAGGTTCATTCTTTTCTCGTGCAAATTATCATCCTTTCATCATGGTTTCAAATGTTATGGCACCATTTATGGCAAATTTCCTTCAATCAGGTTCTTGTTAGAATAACAAGTTGTTTCATTAAGTGGTAGCTACTCCTAACCTTTTTCTAGATGATATGGGTATCCTGGACCTTCGGCTCAATTAATTTTATATATAATGGTGATTAAAAATTTAAAATTGTATGAGATTCTCTTGACTCTTCTTTGCGTTTCCATTTACAAATATTGGACAAAATTTTACCCTAAAAAATAGCGTGTTACTCATTAAAGTTGTACACGTGATTCTTGCTTTGGTAAAGAGGAAGATGTGTATGCCAAAGTAAAGAAGACTTTGAAATATTGTTTGGTCCAGGTGGTGAAAAACATGAACGAAGTAATTTATCAAAGAAAAAAAAAAAACCATGAACGAAGTCTTTAGTTATGATGTTTGCAACGAAAGAATTGTGAAAGAAGGATGATAAGAACTCACTTTCTCTGAAATTCCTTTTACGTACCTAATCAAGTCCTCGAATGCTAAACTTTTCTTTAGATCGGGCGTTGGGCACAAATGATTTGAGGCAGAAAGACCCAATAAGATGATGAACTTCATAGCCCTTTCCTGAAATTCCTTCTACATACCCAATCAAGTCCGGTGCTAGGGTCAGTGGCTCTGTGCCCACTGCCCAATCCTGCACCTTCTACGGTCAGCCCTTGAAAGGGACTTCATTCTCCAGCATATTTCCGTCCCTTATTTGTAATATAGTCAACTCCAATAAGCTATAAAATATAGTCTAACCGAAAATCAATTATCACTCGTCTGGGTTTCTTTTTTATTTTTGGATCAGCACCTTTGTTTTGTAAATGTTCTACTCTTGGGTCTAAAAACATTTCTCATAAGGATGTTAGGTGTTTAGATGTGAGCGGAGAGAATTTTATATTGAAAATAATGTATATAGTGAAAAGTAAATTATTTATATATATGAAGACCCATGAACTTACTAATTTACTCTGCTGATGTCCTGTATTTGTTTATAAAGCTAAATCTGCTGAGGGGTTTGGTGGTTGTCCCCTATCAGCCACTACGGAGTCTTGATGAGATATAAGGTTATAGACGAAGGGCTGGATCTCCCTTGGTCCTAAATGGTTTTATGGTGATGCTATCTTGGGTCCCTTCTCTAATCACCTGGTTTCTATTGTTTCTAATCGCAAAAAATCAAAAGCATGTCACTTTACGTCTCAAATGTCCTATACTGGAGTCTGTCGGTGGCTTGATTTGGGTACCCTCCATGGGAAATTGCCTCTCCTAGGTTGTTTGGTTTGATTAGTAGCAGATATTAATGCAGGTTCTCTTCAAGACAAGGCCAAGATTTCTATTAAGGGGCAGTTTTCATGGGGCCCCTGCTCTAGTGGGGGTTGTGGTTCATTGAAACCTGTCCCACATTGAACATTGCCACAACCCCCGCTTGAAAATAGACTAGTAAAGTCATGGCACCAAGAAGGCCTGTTGGGATTGCTGCATCGATATGCTAATCTTCGGTTTTCATCATCCAAGCTACCAGGGCAACAGCAAGTGAGAATGATAGATAAGGTTGCACTACAAATGGGCCACTGGAACAGCCTTATCTAAACAGCCTTATCTATCATTCTCATTTGCTGTTGCCCTGGTAGCTTGCATGATAAAGACCGAAGATTAGCATATTGATGAGGCAATCGCAACAGGTCTTCTTGATGCCATAGCCTCACTTGCCTATTTTCAAGGGTTGGTGAGAACATGACACGCTAGTGGACAAGGGGATGGGCACTCTATAGTTCTTTGGAGTTCCACCTTCCCCTTGGCAAATAGTCTTCTCTAGCCTTCGCAGTCTTTATAACTAGTATTTTATTTGAGTTGCGAGTTTGTTGGGAATGTCTCTTTTGTACCTGACCTTCAATTTTCTAGTCTAATATATCAAAGCTTCTTTGATGGCAGAGAACAAAATATCCCTTTACATTTGTTTTGGAAAATCTAAATGAGCAGCTTTTGCTAAATAGTGAAATTCATTTAGCGATGCCATTCCCCTTAGCCTTGCATGAAAATCAGAGCTCCACATTCATACCAAAGTAGCCAGTTACAACCATTGTGATATTTTGCGGCAGGGTCCCCAAAGAGACCCCTGTTAAATATCAAATACTTCAAACATCAAACAGACTCAAAGAAACCATCTTAGACGTTAATTACAGCAAAGAAAACCTTGGAAATGCATTATTGCATTTATTTTCATTCCTCCAGATTATCTACTCCTCGTCCATATCATCATCATCAATTTCCTCAATTTTCATCTTCTTCACTGCCTGTGCAGCATCATTTCTCGGAACATTAGGGATTTGGATCAGTACCTCAGACTTCTGACCGGTGGCTGCGTTAACCAACCCTCCATTCTTTTCCACCCGATACACCAAGTTAGTTCCGTTAGGTGCCGCATCTATGTATACAGTGGAGCTTTCATCTATTTCCTCCCTGACAAGCATCCTTGATAGCTCAGTAACTACCTTCTTCTCAAGCCATCTCCTGATTGGCCTTGCACCATAAACCTATACAACAAAATATAAGATAAATATTGTTATTGCCTTTCATCATCAATAGACTTCAAAGGAGTCACGTAGAATCAGAATGTGATAATACTTACCGGATTATAACTCTCTGCTAAGACATGGTCCAATGCCGCATCTGTCACTGCCAAAGCGATACCTCTCTCAGCAAGACGGCTTGCAACTTCCTTCATTTGCAATCTGGCAACCTTCCTCAATTGATCATGTGAGAGAGGATCGAAAACCACAATCTCATCAAGTCTGTTTAGCAACTCCGGCCTAAAATGTCGCCTCACCTGAAGAAGTACCAATGATTGAAATGTTAGTATATAATGCTTCTAAATCCTAGTTTCACCAGGAAACCACAAAATTAAACATGTTAGAATCAGTTACCTCTTGCAACACTTTTTCCCGAGCAGCTTCAATTGGAACTTTGCCGGTAAGTCCTGAGAGAAGGTGTTCTGCTCCAAGGTTTGAGGTCATGATGATTACTGTATTCCTAAAGTCCACAGTACGACCTTGGCCATCAGTTAACCTACCATCATCCAACACCTGGAGTAGAGTGTTAAAGACAGAAATATGAGCTTTCTCCACTTCATCAAACAGCACGACACTGTAAGGCCGACGCCTGACTGCCTCTGTAAGTTGTCCCCCTTCCTCGTGTCCCACATACCTGAAATTCACAGGATGAAATTGTTTGAGATTCCACTCTCATTACCTGTATGAAAAAAATGAGGTGTGTAGTCACATATATTGCAGAGTAACACCTACCCAGGTGGTGCCCCAATAAGCCTAGAAACAGAATGTTGCTCCATATACTCAGACATGTCAATCCTTACTAGTTGATTTTCATCATCAAAGAGTTGCTCAGCCAGAGCCTTTGCGAGCTCAGTCTTACCAACACCAGTTGGACCCAAGAAAAGGAATGAACCAGTTGGTTGTTGTGGCCTTCCTAATCCAGCCCTCGACCTCAAAACAGCCTCTGCCACAGCATTAACTGCTTGGTCTTGACCCACTACCCTTTGATGCAACCGCTCAGCAAGCCCAATCAACCTCTCTTTTTCACCCTGGCCAAGCCTTGTGACTGGAATGCCAGTCCAGCGGCTTACAACCTCTGCAATGTGTTCTGGTTGCACTGTCTCAGTTAACATTAAGTCTTCACCAACATTCTCAGCCGAGCTCCCTTCAAGCTGTTGAATGGCAGACTCAACTTCCTGAATTGCTCCATATCTCAAATCTGCAGCTCTTGCAAGGTCATATCTTCTTTCTGCTTCCTGCAAAGCAAACAGGAGCTCTTCTCTTTTCTGCTTTAGTCTTCTAATCTCATCAATCCTTTCTTTCTCCTTCCTGTACTTCATCATTAGGGGTTGAAGCTTGTCCCTTAAGTCATCAAGCTCTTTACGAACCTACACAAAAACAATCAGTTAGATCTCAAATTAGAACTTAGAAGTTAATGTTCGTATCATATCATATCATATATGAGGGAACAATACTTACTTCAACAAGTCTGGCTTTGCTAGCTTTGTCCTTCTCCTTTTCAAGGGCATGGAGCTCAATTTCTAATTGCATTCTTTTCCTTTCCAGGTTATCAATTTCTTCAGGCTGACTATCAAGTTGGACTCTCACATTTGCGCAGGCTTCATCAACTAAGTCAATCGCCTTGTCCGGAAGATGACGTCCTAAAATTAGGAATAATACAACATATGAACATCATTCATATCTCCCAATGCAAAAATCAAACAACTAGCTTCTGCCTAAAACTACCGTTATTCAGTCAGATATATGTAAATGAAAACGAATCCTTACCAGTAATGTATCTACTTGATAGCTGTGCTGCCACCACAAGGGCACGATCCTGTATCTTAACACCATGGTGACCCTCATATTTCTCTTTCAACCCTCGAAGGATGTTTATTGTGTCAGTGACACTAGGCTCAGCCACATAAACTTGCTGAAACCTTCTCTCAAAGGCAGCATCTTTTTCTACATACTTCCTGTATTCCTCAAGTGTAGTAGCACCAATGCAACGCAGTTGTCCCCTAGCAAGCATGGGCTTAAAGAGGTTAGCAGCATCCATAGAACCCTCAGTTCGACCAGCTCCCAAAACAAGGTGGATTTCATCAATAAAGAGTATCACTTTTCCCTCTGCTTCCTCAACTTCTTTCAGAACTGCCTTTAACCTCTCCTCAAATTCTCCTCTGTATTTAGCTCCAGCAACCAATGCACCCATGTCTAATGCAATGAGTCTCACATCAGCAAGATTGCTTGGGACATCTCCTCTGACAATTCTTTGAGCCAAACCTTCTACCACAGCTGTTTTACCAACACCGGGTTCCCCAATAAGAACTGGATTGTTCTTGGTTCTCCTTGAGAGAATTCTGATGACTCTTCTGATCTCATCATCTCGACCAATTACTGGATCAAGCTTCCCTGCCTGCTCAACAAGATCCCTCCCATAAGTCTTCAGAGCCTGAAATGTAGTATCCCCAGAAGCACTTTCAACCTTCCTCCCTTCCTTCCCACGGAGCTTTTCAACCTCTGATTTCACTTTTGCTGGTGTCACCCCAGCTTCCTTCAACAAATCCGCAATTTGAGAATCCTCAATGAGGCCTAGAATCAACTGATCAACAGCCAAGTGGGTGTCTCCTCGAGATTTTTGTGCTGCTTGGGCCCGACGAATAACCTTGATAAGGGTAGTACTTGCAGGGATTTCATCAGGGGCAGGGGATTGCGATGGGAGCTTATTCAAGGCTCGATTAAATACCCTTTCAGCTTCTTGTGCAGCATTTCCACCACCTGCATTGTTGATAGCTTGAGCAAAGATTCCATTGGGATCAGATATTAAAGCTACCGCAAGATGGAGAGGAGTGAACTGTGCATGGCCTGCGTTCATTGCAAGCCCATGAGCCTCTGCAATTGACTCATTTGTCTTGTGGGTAAATTTGTCAGGATTCATGATTGCAATCTGCTAAACACCTACAAAACCCACCATTACAGCATCCTTAAGAATCACCATCTCAAAATATTGGGTTAAAAAAAATTGAAAAATTTAGTGCCGTCAAAATCAAATGCATTGCAACACAAATTGGTAGAAACCCCGAAAACGTATAACATCAGAAAAACACAATTGGTAGAAACTAAGAAAAACCAAAACCAACTTACATAGTGTCTAAACCCAACAACCCAAAACTCTACAACCACAAATCACTGAATCTCTTCATACTTTATATAAAAAGGGGACAAGCATAATCTTTATTGCTTATTTTCTCCAATTATGACATCAAAAATATTAAGAAGAAACCTTGTAAACAAACAAACGAGCATCATGCACACAGTCAATTCAAATCACATTTGGAAGAGTTTGCCCTTACCTGATGATGCAAACTGGTTCTGTTCTGTAAGTTTCCTCTGCTTCGCTTCGCTATAGCCTTTCGAATCCCTTTCAAAAGGGTTTATGCTTCGAATAGAGAAGAAAGTGTTGGGTTTGTGTGAATTTCTCTGCGTCTTTTCGCTGAGAGAATCGAATTTATGGGGGAATTTGGAATGAAGGAGAGCCTTTTGTTGAGGAAGTTGGAGGAGTCTGGAAGGTGATAGAATATTGTATACTGGACTAGAATCTAGAAACTACTCGAAATCACCGTTATTATATATTTTAAATTTTCCTTATTCTTTCTTTTTTTTT